CGTAGAAGTTACAGATTTACTGAATCCTTTAAGGTTAAAAAACCAAGGTTTTTTGGGGATACTTATTTGGATGTCAGCATAGTACTTGCCTTTGATAAGCTTGATTTTATTCCACTCATTGCTCCATGAGGAAAACATATCATTGGTAGCTAAAGGCAGGAGGTCATAGGTAAATGTCCTATAATGATTAAGGTAACCTGTTTGGATAGCGTTTTTCGCCAATATGTCTACGGTTTCATTGCCTTGGATCCCGCTATGACCTGGAATCCACGCCAATACAACCTGAATGTTATTACTATGGCATTGATACAAGACCTCCTTGATCTTCAGGATATTATGGAATTTACTTTTACCAACAAATTGGTTTGCCAGAATAGCCTGTAAACAGCTTTTAGAGTCTGAAAAAAATATACTTTTGTTCAGTTTGTGAGATTCAACATAACTGAGAGCTTCAAGTAGGGCAGTAGATTCTCCTGTGAATACGGATGCCTGAGACGGGCATTTACAGTTCGGAATAATTTCATATTACCATATTATCATATTAGACCCATACAGCCGCACCGACACAACCATCAGCAGCCAGCCTGGAAGCATCCGTATACATAGTCAACCAGCCCTGCCAGTCCTTAGCCAAGGCCTTATTAAACTGTCTGTCTGCAGCAGAGGAATCTTTGTAAATACCAAAGTCCAAGATTATCTCAGGTTTAAATATTATTACATCATAAAGACAAGAAAAAAGGGGTTTTTTAGCGCATTGGAAAACGGGAGAATTGATTTTGACAAATTTGTGGTAACTTTTAAGAATGCAGGGTATATCTTTGATTTGCCAATATTTAGAAGATCTAGTTAGATCAGACAGTTCGTGAAGCTTGGCCAGAAGAGGGTGAGGAGATAGTTGCGCCACCTTGTACAAAAATCTATCAGCGAGGAACTGCCTTCTTAAAAAGAGAGGGGTTCCACACACTCAACCTGGAGAGCATTTATTGGTGTAGACTTCATGGCTCCAATGATGAGACGGAGACACTTTGATTGGATTTTGCCTCCCAAATTGAGGGCAGTTTTATGACACGGTTCCAATAAAAACGAGCCGTAGTCAAAGTGACTACGGATTATGGCATTGTACAATATTTTTTGACAGAATGGGTGGGAACCCCACCAAGTGCCTGACAGGGAGCGGAGAATATTAATGCTAGTCTCACACTTTTTGGCAATAAAGTTTAAATGAGTGACGCCCGTCAATTTGGAATCTAGTATGAGCCCCAGAAATTTGAAATTGTCAAAGATTGTTATACGCTGGTCTAGGATATTGACTGGAATTTGTGGGGTAAACTTTTTCCGGGAAAAAACCACTACACCACTTTTAGGGGCAGACAAAGAAAGACCATGGTCAGTTAGCCAATCGCCTAAGTACTGTAAAGCAGTATTCAGACGGAAACCGATGTCATCCAGTGACGAGCCGTGGGCATACATGATCTGACTGATCATCAGCATATTGGAGGATACTACAAAAACTGTCCACTGATCTCTCCAGATCATACGTATAAATATTGTACAGCAAAGGACTGAGAACAGATCCTTGCGGAAGGCCCTTCCAGACGTTCCTTGATGCGACAAAGTTTCCTTGGAAACGAAACAAGCATGTCCTACACGAGAAGAGATTAAAAATGAAATTGGTCAATCTTACCGGGATGCTCAGCTGATGCATTATTTGCCTGAGCAGGGGAAGAATCACACTATCATAAGCAGCGGAAATATCCAAGAAAACACCAATCAGAGACTCCTTCTTTGAGAAGGCCAGACGAATATCAGAGACCAGGAGGCTTATGCTATCCATAGTGCCGCTACCCTTCCTAAAACCAAACTGGCTTTTAGCTAAAATATCTCTATTTTCCAAGAGCCACTCCAACCGATTTTTAATAAGATGCTCCATGATTTTCGCTAGGGTAGAGGATAAGGCAATGGGACGATAGTTGGAAGAGTCTGTAGCATTTTTGCCTGGTTTCAGAATAGGGATAACCACATGCGTCTTCCATTCCTCCGGAGGACACCCTGAGAGGAATATGGAGTTAATAATTTCTAAAAATGTCATCTTAGCAGAAGTCCTCGCATTTTTCAAGAAGGAATATGGTATTCCATCTACTCCTGGGGAGGAGTCCTTAAGGTGGTCCAAAACTAGGAGCAGTTCTGAGAACGAGAATGGGTCATTCATACGATCTGGACAACAGATTTGAAAAATACCAACTATTTTTGACATTTACGTAAGATGTGCTTTATAGAAAGATATAATAAAACATAGCTTATCTAACAAAATCAATACGAAATACGACGTCGAAAGTTCGAGATGAGTACGGGAAAGGACATTTTGGACGTATTTTTATTAAATCAACATACCTATCTAACATAAGAACCTTCAGTATAATTAAGTATGACATCTAAACTACCAAATAAAATTAAATGTGTATTTCAATTAAGGCATCGGTTAAAACCATTTTTGATTCGCCGTTGTTCTACTATTTCCCGTAGTGTGTTGCCGTGCATGTATTGACGCCGGTGGAAAACAGTTTGAGCACTTGCTGTAGTCTGTAATAAAATTGTAATAATTTATTCATTACTTTTATTTAAATTCCTGTATCTGTCGAGAAATGCGTAATTTTGAGACTATTTGCCTCACTAAATTATACTTACCATTTTTACCAGTCAGTCTAACCCCGACTACATGCATATGAAACCTAAATTAATCTTAAAAGCACTGAAAGCTATTTTCACTTAGAAAAGGTAACCTTTTTAAATTTACCCTTTTTTAGAAAAACCTTTACCGAAAGATTATTTTTTCCAATAAGCATGACGTAGAAGGTATTATACCACTTTAGAATCTTGATTAGTTGCGCCAACTTTTGTAAGAAGTTGCCATTAAGTACATTTTTTTACAGTATGGGGTGTCAAAGTAACCTTGAAAAAAAATCTGCTAAAATTTCAAGAACTAAGGTAAATACAATTTTTTTTTTTGCTCAAACTTTAGCAATTCGGGCTTTCTTTGGCATTGTGTTCATTAGCTGGGCTATTTGGGTTACCATTACAAAAACTAGAACAGCAAAATTAGCAAATTTGTAATTGTAGTAGTGTAGTGTAGTTTATGATGGTATACAGGTCGTACATTTTCAACATTTTTCATTAAAATGCTTATATCACAAAAAAAATAACTCTGATTTTTTAAATATATTTTTCTGGGTTGTTACAAACTGGGCAAAATCCTGTTCCCAGGTTATCGTTGAGTATTGGGACACCTGTATATTAGAAAGGAAATATGATCTCCCTGAATTAGCTCCTTTGCATTAGTAATAATACTTAGTACGTAAGTCCATTATTGAATTAACTTTGATTATTTGACTTTCATTTATTTTATTGAGATATTTTATTATTAAAACCAATTTAATGTTTTGGTTGTTGTTGGCGACAGATCTTTTTACTTCTTTTTTTATGTAATTTTTATACTCGGAATTAGTTTTGTTTTTTGTATTTTGAATTACATTTTTGTTTCATGTTTTTTGGTTCGCTGTGAAGTGTGTTCAGTGTCTAATGTGTTTTGAATTTATTATAAAATTTTCATCAAAATAAGTGTTTTTTCCTCCGCCGCTGCCTGCTACTCAGTCCACTGCTCATTCTAACGTTTTTAATTGTGTAATGTTTAATTTTTGTTATTATTACTTTCCTTGTTGCCTATTTTTAATTTTTGATTTTAGCTGCACCTTAACAGGGTATATGTATTGTTCATTACGTACTTCACATGTTTGCTAAAAATAAATACCGAACATTGAAATGCAAAGTAATTAAGTATATAATAATCATATCTGAATAGTTGCAACAGTTTCGATTGCATCTGTATGTGGATAAAAAGGTTCTGATACAACATGGATGCAACAGTGAGAATTAACGATGGGTTTTATTGTCGACAAATCGAAGTCAGGCGGAAGCGGAATTTAAAATGTTGGTGAATAATGCTACGAAGTATTGTAGGAATCGATAAAACTTCGTAGAACGTTGTGCCATCGTTCTGCAGGCTTTGGGTATAGAATCAACTGGGATAAGTTCCAGGATTTTGCTCTGACAAGAGCCAGGCACATTCTCACAGCTTATCCCTGGTCCAATACGTCAACTTCTTTGATAGATCGGGCGCTGTTATTTATTAGAGAATAGTCCGAAGACGCGGCAGATTCCAGATACAAGGACATCAAATCGTTCAACTCCGGCGTACTCTGTACATGTTTAGGGTTGTTACCTATAGGAACTTCTGACAAGCGGTTTCCCAGTTCAGATCCTTTGCTATCAGGGCTTAGCACATTGTCTACAAAGAAGAATGACTTGACTAAAGCTGTTTTAGACTCAAATGAACGTCCAAACGCTTATTATTCTGTTCAAATTGAATTTACAATCATATTGTGATAATTAGGTCAATTGAAGTAGGTATATAGATAATTTGTGCTTATTTATATTTCTCCAAATTTTCTGTGTCCGTGCACTAAACTACACTTATTTATAAAAAAAAATCTACAAAAAATAGTGCGTATAATATAGGTCGAAAGCGGACTGGAGAGCACAAAATCGTCCCAATAAACCTTTCGGACCTAATGGAAAAAAAATCCGAAAGGCCTAAAATGTGACAACAGTGGCGTGTCCCGAATACAGAATCCAACACAAAGTGTCATTTTTCTCAAAATTGAAATCGTATATCAATATTAGACTTTAGTTCACATATAATAAATTAGATGATAGTATTTATAATCTGAATTTCACAATAAACTATACAATAGTTTTATCACAATACCAAGATTACGCGGGAATTTGGTGGTCGTTTTCGTTACGTCGATGAAGCACCAAATTTGTAATATACTTATTATTGTACAACATATACGTAGATATATTGTTTCAAAAGTTTTAATAACACAAACAAATTCGTTTCGCTACGACACACAAACTCTGGGCTTTTCTGATGTTTAACTTGCCTTTGTGGTTTGTGTTTTGTGGGCGAGGAAGTAACACGAGGCGCATCCTGAGCGTCGCGGCGGCAGGCGCAGCACGTGCAGAGCCATCCGTGACTGCGGGCAAAGTATCTAATGTCAATTACCACTGTCACTGCCACGGTATGCTGCAGTAATGCAGCATGCAACCGTACTTAAAAAGGTATTTTGGACGGTTTATTATTTTTTTATAAAAAACCGAAAAAGAGCGATCGGTTTAAGTAATAGCGAAACGTGCGCGTGGCGAGATTGTGGCGGTGGTCGCCCTGCGGAGGAGTAACAAGAATCTGGCACAGCGCCACTGCACGCATATTATTTTATCTGGTCGAACTTTGACCAAGGCATCAGTTTATTTAGCCCGACCTTAGGTTAACTTATTAACTGTGTGATCGTATACCTAATATTTATGAACTTAATTTAAAACCAGTCATCTGCTCGGAATTGCACATCAACGACGTTCGATGTTACAAAACGTCACAGTAGCCGCATTTAGTTTTTCGATCACGATTAAAAAAATTTGTTCGATGTGATCAGCCGCAGGTGCTTCAGTAGTTTCGATCGTTCGTACGTACGAGTGCATTCATAACATAGATAACTTTAACTGTTTTGGATAATAAAAATACAGTAAGGCAAATGACGTATGACGCTTTTGCATTTTTTCTCAAAAAAAAAGAAAACAAATATTGATATTACTCCAAAACCGTGTTATATGTACTAGTAACGACATTAGTAGTAATTTAATTTAAAAGCTTTCATCGATTCATTCAATAATTTTTTAATATGGCGAAAGTATTTGCGAGCAGGTGATCGGAGTGTAACGTCGGTCGCTCTTGTTATAGAAATCGTTGAGACTTTGAATAGTTTAAGCGAATTTATCAGGCGAAATATTATTAATTACGGTAAGTGTTTATTAAAACTATTAGATAACTGTAAAAACAATTAATGTTGTGTGTATTTACTGATGTATATCGTTTATATTTTATTTTAGAGGCATGTGAAACACTGGTGAAAAATTGTAGTGTTTACTAGTAGTTGATACTTGACACCCATGTCAAGCGCTCGTATATATGCATATGTTTTAAAACTTGATTTCGACCATTTGGTAAGGGCGGAGAACATAAGTTTGGATTACTCTGTTAATGTAATCCAAGTTTCTGTGGGTAGTTTGAGTAGTGTTTGACATGGGTATAAAAGACTGTTTTACTATGGGGACCATAAACTATGGAAACTAAAGGACATGTTATGTTGACATATACAAATCAGACGTTGTATGTATATGATGCATTTCGTCGTTGAAAACATAAATGTTATTGTCTATGCTTAACTATTGCGTGCTGTCTTAAGAAAAAAAGAGACAGTATTACATTGGTCTGTGTCAAACACGGGAATCTAAAATACGTAACAAAAATACGTACATGAGGTACATGATACGGTTGTCAAAGGGAAGTACATCAAATGTCAAAACAAAATGTTTTTCCAAGTATTTTATTATTATTCGCATGTATTGTAATAAAATCGTCGAAAATATAGACAGTGAGAACAATTAAGTATTAATAAAAATTCGTCACTGCAGTATTACGGGATGTGGCATTAGATACAGCGAAAATCGACCGAATATAACATTGTATTGTCACGTGTTATTTTTCTGTCTATAAATCACACAAAAGCCCATATATCTCATATAATTAGACATATTTAAGTAGTTTATCCATTTATTCATTAACATTTTGCTTTGGTTACTTCAGATTGCCTGTTTGTTTGTATATTTTGATGATTGTTGTTAACGATTATTTTGAGAAAGTGTTGTTCTTTGAAGCGTACGTATTATCGATATTCTGTTATTAAAATAATTCACCACGAGGTTTTTATTATTTTATTATTATTTTTACTATTTCAAGTTTACCTACAAACCAAAAAAGAAAAAGAATAGTTGGAAATCATAGGAGTGCCGAATATAAACATTGAATCAAAGACCACTTCATTTATTCGCTTCACTTTGAAGAGGCAAATTTCAACAAAACTTTGAATATAACTAGATTACATGATAATGCAATTCCATCATTAAGTTTATTGGTAAATAATTTTATATTTTCAATTCGTGAAAACAAAATTATCCACTCGTTTCCGATTTTTCCCACAGACAATTAATTCTAACTACTAAATATTCTTATTTTATAAAGCCAGCAATATAATGACCATGTTGGTCCAACGTTGCCGGGTGATGGCCAGTACCAGCGTATAGACCGCCTATATGCCTTGCCATCGTTCGGCGTCTCTCGCCTAGCTGACTGAGTGAAGGCGAGCGCTAACGTGTCTAGAGCTCGTTGGACGTGGCTTGTCACCACTCGCAGTCGCTCGTGACTAATTGTCTCACTTCGGAGAAGTGTAGATTTTATCCTCGCACAAATCAAAGGCGCTCATCCAATAGTTAGTCAATTGTCATTGTATAATCCGACATTTGCATGCTATTTCATATATGCTTATTTGTTTATACTAACACTGTCGCTTGTTACATCGCCTGTTATACCATATTTATAGTCATAACGTATTATTATTGATAATATTATTACTTTCATTTATATCCAAAAATTAAATGGAAGTATTAAAGATTTACTTAAATCAGTCCCTGATATTAATTATATGAAAATATGAATCTTGAGGTTGGAAATGTATAGGAGATCTCCAGATTTATATTTCAAATTTTATCTTTTTTTATATACTCTCAAATTAAATTTTTTCTGTGCAAATTTACTTTTCGTAACATTTGAGTATTTGTAAACGCAAAACAATAAATTCAAAATTTCATGTGACATTCCCGGATATTCCCATATAACCTAAAATATTCACAAATGGAATACTGATCTACTTTAATTAAATGTTTGCATGTAGATAATGACTTATCGATAGATTATAGTACGACACTAGAGCAATCCGCCTTTGTTCGTTCAATTTTTGTTTAGGTATGCACGTTAATTCCGTAGTTAGCTCCTTTCTTTTATTTTTTTTCCATCCTCTAAGATAGGGACCCAATAATTGACAGTTGTATATTGAGGTGTCAAACACTAGGGCGCAACTAGTGTCAACTATTTGTTACGGGTATTGTTCAATGAAAAAATGCCACTAAGGCTGTCGCCTTATTCTGATGATGACGTATTGAAAGCGGTAGGCGGAGTATCAAGATGAATTTCCTATCGCGGTAGGTGCAAGAAAATGTGGGATACCGCGGCTTATTTTACTGTATAAAATTTTATTAACTTAAAATTTCATTAAATTTATGTAAACATTTTAGTAACTCATTTTTATTTGAAATTTTGCACAGAGACTCAAGATTAGGTACGCATTATTTTGGGTCCTTTAATATAACTACACCTTTCTGATACATCATCGATCATTTTGTATATTTTTTGCACTTATTTACCTTGACTACAAAGGTAAGTAAATATTTATTAATTTTAATAAAAACGTCTCGATTGATTATGGTTTTTCTTATTTTTTAAATTTGTTATCAAGTGATTAATGCGTTTAAATAACTATGAAATCTTAACATGACGTCCTGTCAAATACTGGTACTCCGATCTCACTGTGTCATAGTCAACTATTAATATCTTACTGTAATTAATTGGAAAAGTAATTTATCAATGATTTGTATATAGATTTCAATGATCACTAAGTTAAGTTGTCAATGAGTACTAAAGTAAACAAGGAAAACAATTGTTGTTTTGTCACGTTGAAACAAATATAACTTGTAGGATGCTGCTACAAATACACGTCTACCTAACTTTATCGATCTGTCATTCTAATGAAGCTGAATTTTAATGGATTTTTACACTCAAGAGCACGTCAAGCTTGACACTTTTTACTTTGGACCGTCCTTATCGTAAGCGGAATAGAGTTGGATTTAAATCTTAAGTGTCAAACTTGACGTGTTCTTAAACCTGTACGTAACCGAACACACCGGGACACATACAATCACACGTTGGGCGCATTGCCTGAAAGAGAGCATAACAAACCTACCTAGAAAGCTTTGGAACCCATTTCATCCGCTTTTGAATTTATATAAAATTTAAACACCCATATACGCATTCAAGCGTGCTTCTATCAACTAGCGGGTTAATATATTTCTGATATGTGTTTAGGATGTTTGAAGAGACATAATATATACCTAAATATATGTTTCATTATTTGCTTTGGAAAGTATTGAATCAGTTTCAGATGAAGAAACTTGAACTGTAAGGCTCAACTCACACGGGCGCAGAGTCGAAGCGTCGCGTCGCGTCCTGTTTTGCAACTACAACGCCTGACTGCGCTGCGATTACAGTGTGTCGCCTCACGTGCTCAAGTAACGACGCGCGTCGACGCTTGACACCATATCGACTCATCCGAAGAACAGAGTCTGATGTGATTATACAACGAAAATAAGGCAAATACATAAACTTGTTATTTAAAATAAGGCTTATCTATAGTTGTTTTCATAATTTTTATAACCTATTTCGTTTCGGACATATAAAATCGAACACCGGTCGATCTGACATCCACAGCGAAGAACAACGAACGAAATGTAGAATGTTCTGAGAATAAGCAGTCTTGCACATAGGCCTTTGTTCTACGGATGAGTCGATATTTGCATATCACAAATTTGTACCTTAACATTGGGAAAATAGAGATGAATATGTTATAGGCGAAAAACATGATGCGTCGCGACGCTTCGACTCTGCGCCAGTGTGAGTTGAGCCTAAGTAGTTACAATTGTTATCTTACACAAGTAGTAGTGTAAAACTACGGACCCCTGTTATTTTCATCTCTCTCCTTATACGTTTTCTAGTAAACACTTTTCCTGATTCCTGAAAGAGTTCCAACTAATATTTACTAAAATATTAGTGTCTAAATTACTTAAATTTGCTATTGTAAGCTATTTCTCGCACTGATAATTTACTCACTTTTCATGTCCAATCTCCCGACATTGGCGTATTCTATCGTACTGATAGTATCTCCGAATTTTGCTATTCGTTTTTCCAATGCCAATTACGTACTATTTCATCAATTTCCATTAATAAACATTTTTATTTCGTATTTAGTAT